TTGATCTTGTACATAACAATTAGACATAGAAAAATAAAATTCTTGAATGGTCATGTTATTTTGCTTAAGAGTTTGAATATTAATTTCTAACATATAGTGTTTTGCAAAATTAGACCTTTCATACAACTTTTGCAAATGATCCCAAATAGCCTTGACCAAATCATACTTTGCAAGTTGCACCCCTATCGGCTAAGAAATAAAATTATTGGTCAAGGTAATAATTTTTGAGTTTTTTACTTCTCAAGTTTCTGAATCCTTTGTAGATTTTGCAACTTGATCATATAAAAGCTTAGCAAAAGTTCCATTAACATAGCCCTACCTTCTTTTGCCTTCCAAAAAATTCATCATTACATAACTTCAATAAGAATAATTATTCCCATTCAAGTTTACAATAATCGATTGAAGAGAATCATCCTTGTCACTGGCCATATTTGCAAACCAAGGCAATAATAAAGTACAACAACCAAAATAATAAAGCAAAATAGATCACCAAAATTGTCACGCTAAAACAGAAACAAAATCACAATAGAACAAATAAGGTTGCAACAAACACAAGTGTTGAGGGAGTAGTGAAATTGGGTCACGAATGTCGCGAATCAGGTCGAACCAAGCTCTAAGAATAAACATAGTGAAGAAGAAAAAGAAGAAGAATAACAAGAAAGGGGGCTAGGGTTTCATTGATAATAAGAACGGTATCTCAACAATACAAAACACAAGAGAGCAATATATATATATATATATATATATATATATATATTAGAGAAAAGATAAACACTAAAAGGAGGTTGAATAATGTATATTAAAAGCTTACACTTTTTACATAGTGAAGTAGTAACGCTAGTTAGATAAAGTGCAAAGAGAAGTCAGATGGAATACTAGATATTTTTATATTGGTTTGTCTCAACAACTGAGACTATGTCCAATTCTCAATCCAACTAGATTGAGTTGTACTATCTTTCAACAAAGATAAAAGTATTCTTTCAACAGACCACTTCTATCTCAATCCTAAGTATTCTTTGACTTGCCTCTTCAAGTAATTACTCAAATATTCTTTCCATAACAAGCTTTTCCAGGCTTATTAACAACCAAGTATTCTTTTCAACCAAGTCTCTCCAAGTTCAAATAAGTATTGTTTTACAAACAAGTCTCTTCAAACTCAACCTTATAAAAATGGTTATAAAGGTTATAGGGATGTTGTGTTTATCTCACTTAGACATTATACAACCAGTATAGAGCAATAAGGTTTTACAAAAAAGAATGAAGATTATATGCAAGTATAATTTACAAAGAGTGTTTCCTCATGTATGTTTTTGTACAAGTCTTTTTTTTTTCTTCTTAAGCTTCGAATCTTCTTGTATAGTAGCTTGGAGAAGATAATCGTTACAACACTTTGAGTCTAGCTCACAAGTTTGCTTCATTTGTCTTCAACATCTTTCCTTGTGATGGGAGGCAACCATTGACTCATTTAATGTAAACATTAAATGCATTTCACCAAATGGTACTTCTTATCTGATCAAGGAGGCTACTTATCATCTTTCTAAACCAAACGGAGCTTGTAGAAGCAATGGCACTGTAGAGCAGTAACAATGACGACTTTATCTACTTTTCTCCATGACTTTAGGGATCTTTGTCCTTGGTCCTGATGGAAAGCATGATCTTATTCTCTTTAACAAATTTGTGTGTTCCAAGATGATTTTCTAGTTTGATTTGTTAAGGAATAAGACATTCAAATTAATTTTTTCATTAGTCTCAATAAAGAATGAACATTTAATGAATATGAGACAAACTATATGCTTTATCTAATTCACATTGTCTTGTAGACGATCTACGTCTTATACTTTATCCGATAAACATTTTTGAAGACATTTTTTCTTACAAAAATATTTTGTTTGTTAACATTAAAACTCCAAAACTTGAGAGATCTCCAAGATCATCTTTTGACTTAACACACACACATATATGAGAAATGATCTACTTACTTTAAGAGTAAGTTTTGATAGACTTGTTTTACTCAATAACTCATTTTCTATATCAAATTTCAATATTTCAATCGTGGAATTCAAAGTTCTTAATATATAGATCAAGTCTACAAATTTTTTAAAAGATTGAAAATCATATGATACTTTGATATATATATATATATATATATATATATATATATATATATATAAACGTGTAAAATATTTTTA